ATCTTGTTTTTGGTGCTATGCACATATGTGTGTATATAGACAGCACCCATCTAAGATCGAAACATTCCAACAGCATAAATATGTGTTTATACATACAGTGTTTAAATACAATAGCTATTGACGGAGGAGTTAAAGGAATTGTATTGCACTTACTCACAGAAGAGCAAAGAATGATCATAAAATCCAATCATTAGCCAGACCAGGACTGTGATATTGAATAAATTATTATTGGCCCAGCTCTGTTGCTTGCTTGTCCTGGTTCCTCCATTTGAACAGAAGGTGGAGGTGATGGGTTTAGTTTAGAGGGTTGCTTTAGGGGCCTGGAGAGAGGAAGGCAGACTTCTCCTAGGAGCAGAAATGAGCACATGGGGTGCCTGCGGCAGCAGGAGGGGGCAGGGAGGCGGGAGGAGGGTGAAAGGTGATCTGCCCCTAAAAGGGAAGTCCTACCAGGATGAGAGGCAGTGGGGCCTCCAGCAGACATAAGGACAAAGGCTATTCATGCTCACATCTTATCCTACGACTGCCTAACTAACGTATTTGGAAAAAGATACATTTATGGATGAAAAAGATGGGCCTTGTGGAGCTGCCAGGAGTTATGTAACGTCCTTTGGTTTTTATATGGTGCTGCCCTCAGGAATGTGTGTTCATTGGGGTTTAAGCAGAGACCGTTTGAACCCCCACAAGGTCATAAAATGAGTGGTTATTAGCACAGCTGAAATAACAAAGAGGAGCCTCAAGAGTGGAGAGAAAAGGACCAAAGTTGGATGCTATGAGGTCATGATGAACTCAGTGTCTGACAGGGAAGCGCTGAGGGAGGCCACTAAGGCTCAGCCCAGAAAGCTGCCTGTGAGTGGCGAGCCAGCCCCCAGGAAGGCGCTGCCCGCTCCCCGCTCCCCGGAGAGGACTGGTCACCACCCAGTTTAGTCCTCGCTGCAAAGAAGCAGGGACAGCCAGCACCTCAGCATCTAAACATTGACCTCTGTTGGCCAATTGTGCCATTGCAGAGCTTTTGCAAATAGAAGGCAAACACGGAACTAGTTATTCATTGACAGTTAATGAAGTCACACGGAGGGATTTTTCTGTCGAAGTACTATATATATATTATGTCTGTCTTCTTGAAATTCCCTTAGGATGAGCCTCACCTACCTCCAAGCACACAGTCAGTGCTGATGGGTGCTGCATTGGGCATGCTCAGTACAAAGCTGATTACCTAGTTTCATGTTTGCCTCCCATCTGTGAAAACACTGCAAGGCATGCACCTATTACAGGCCAGAAAGCACCCTAGACTCCGGGCACAGAAAGATGAGCGGAACGGACAATATCTCCACCTTTGTGGAGCATATAGTCTTGTGGGAGTTTGGAGAAAGAGGTGAAACAAATAGCATGAGTAAAAAAAAAAAATGTATCAAATGATGGTAAGTGCCCTGGGGGAGGAGGGAGGGGAGAAGAGAGGGCAGGAAAGCTAGGGATGGGGTATTGTTATTTCAAGCACAGTGGTCAGCAAAGCTCTGAGAAGGGCATTGGAAGGCGACAGTGCACAGGGCAGACAGGATTCCAACTGCAGGGACTAATGTGGACACAGACGCAGAGGTGCAGTGCAGGTAAAGGTCCAGCAGGAGACTGGTCACGGGGGTGCAGTGCGGAGGGGGCATGCAGACCACAGCTTGTGCATGGCGCTTGTTCTCCCAGTGAGAGGGAGCTGGCTTGGCCAGGACAGGGGCAGTAGAGTCAGTGAGACGTGGTCTCATTCTAGGAAAATTTGGAAGAGAGGACAGACAGGATTGCTTTGTGATTTGATGAGTGTAGTATGAAAGAGCTGAGTCAGAAGTGACTCTTGGCCTTGAATGACTTGAATAATGGAAGTGCCATTCATGGAGATGAGAAGAGCATAAGAGGTGCCAGTGGGCAGGGGCATACAAGAAGTCCATTTTGGACACATTGCATTTGCGTTACCAGTAGGTATCCACGTGGGCATCATGCGATAACATGGTGGCCATATCCAGGTGTGCCTTGTGAAGTTACCTGTTTTGCATACATGTTCTGCCTTCCCACTGAAGCAAAAGCTAGATCTTAAACAATAGGTTCCCTTCTGCAGTCCCTCACATTTAGCAGGTACTCAGTGTAGTTACTGAACTTTATCACAACTACAAAACCTGGAGTGGGAACACTTGATCAACAACATTGGAAGCTCTCAGCACCATTGGGGTGACCTGCGTGGGTCTCAAATTCAAGGAACTCACAGACTCACTGTTCCGATTTAAAGTAACATCATGTCATGGAATCTCTCCAAATCTGTTTCATGTCCAACACAGCAATGAGAGCATGTTTTGAGGTAGATAAGTCCTCTCCAAGGGACTTTTAGACAGACAGACCTAACTACATATACTCTTGCTGAAAAATCTTTCCCTATGGTTTCTTCATTAACTGTTAATGATCAGTTAATCTTTAGGAATGTTTATGTCCTTCTGATAAACCTAATTATGAAATACACAGATTGGTTACGAATACTTTATTAGTTTGCTTATCTGAGATATGTACAAGGAGAGTTTAACTTTCACCAAAGAAAGGGAAAAAACTTATTTTAGTTGACATATGTGCAGACCCCAAAAAAGTACATTTTCTAAATAAATAATTCAGGAGGAAAATGTCTGAGGATAAATATTAGCGAGGATGAATAATCAGTGAGGAGAAAAAATAGCATTTGGCATGAGCTATCCAGTGCACTGTTTACAACAATCACATTGTCTGAATAATCTTTCTCTCCTGGTTTGTGTAGACTCGCGTGAGGCTGTGTGTGTGGCAACTTTTCCAGAATTTAGGAGGAAGGGACCAAAGACAAGCCTTGGAAGTGGTGGAGTATATTTTCCCAAACCTACCCAAGTTAAAATGAATTCCATTATCATCAGCTCTTTTTAGTGCATATCTTCAATATTCTCTTCCTCATCATTTTTCTTTCATGAATTGTTAGGTAGGCTGTTCAAGCTACAGGCGACCTCGTGGTACTTAATTCTAAGACCTGCCTTGGGAGTGTCAAGATGAGGGAGTAATGAAGGGCTTTCAAATGCCCCAAAACATTATGGAGTATATAATTGGAAGTATATGCATCTACATCACAGCCTTTGGAATAATGAATAGTGTTACTTGTTATAAAGGCCTTGAAAACATTACTTCTTGGTGAGTCTGTAGATACTGGGTAACATGTAAAAGTCTCAGGTAGACTTATCTATGAATATGAGTAGACATTGTTTTTAGAACATGGAATATTGGCTGCTCTGAGGAGTGTGTACAGTCTAGTAGGTATTAAGCTTTCTGTCAGCAAGGAGACAGACTGCCCCTATCAGGGGATCATCCAGGAACATGCAAAGCCAAATATGTTTGCACATGGGGCTTCCAGTATTATGAATGTCACATGACCTCTGACAGCTGTTAGGCAGGGATAAGCAAACAGTGAGTCTGGTAGATTCTTCGGAGATATTTACACTTGATAACTTTGTTTTTATGACTTGGAAATATAGTTTAAAAAATCCCCACTTGAAGAAGGATTGGTTCCTCTGCTCAGTATGTGATGTTGATGGCTCTAAGAGGTTTGGGGCAGGATTTATGGGGCCAGCTTCAGGGTGGCCCTCCCACTTGGAACTCAGTGGCCATCCCCATCTGATACTATAACTGGTGTGATTTTTCATATGTATATGCAGATATATGTGTGTGACGTATAAATGTAGATCTATAATTGAATAGCAGCCTCATCACACATTTACATGGAGAGACTAGAATTGTATGTGTAGGTGTAAGGCCAACACTATTTCACAATTTTCTGTACCATGAAACAAACCATGAGCTCCTGCCCTTGGGATCCTGTTTATTTCAAGTGACATTCACCACTGTTGGGGACAGTAGGAATGTCAAGTTCATCTCTCTCAGTGGTATTGTATCTCTGTTCATAGAGGCAGAGATCGGGAGCACAGGAAAAAAGAAAATGGGTTGGGAGGCCACAGAGATTAGATTAAATCCCAATTCCATCAATTTCACAGCTGTGACATTAGGCAACCGATTTAATCTTTCTGAGGCTGTAATTATAGTTCCCTATTTTTAAATTAGAACAACAATGCTTTTTTCACTAGTATATTGTTAGCATTAAACAAAAGGCTTTTTGTCAAGTAGGTACTCAAAAAATGTTTGCTTTCTTTACATTTTAAAATATCCCAGAACTATGCCGTTTCCCCCAGATGATATTCACATTTATATGGGCTCATGCTCACACACTACAGTAATAGGCATGCATTCTGCTAGCCTCGAGTTTGGCATGCTTGGCGTACGTAGATGAACCAGGTACTTGAGATGTTTATATCACATTGACCCTCTCCCAACAGTGTTCTCCCTCAAACCTCCCCCAACTCTACCTGCCGTTCAGGTCCTGGTTGAAAGCCCTCCCCACTGACTCTAACCCTTGCTGATTCTGCTTCCCCTAAATTCCTGGGGTACACATTAATTTATCCAATAAACATGAAGCCTCAACTGTGTGCCAGGTACCCTTTTAGGAGCCAGAGGTACCGTGATTAACACACAGAGCACACATGACTCTGACCCACATCAGCCCTGTCACACAGGAGAAGAGCCTTGTCCAGTGAGCTAATCAGGCACAAGGCCGGCGCCTTGCTCAGTGCTGAACATTCCGATGTTCTTTCATCCTTGGGGGTCGATTGACTTGTTTTCACAGAGACCAGGCATAGAGCTGATACTCAGTAAAATGGTATTGTGAGTGCAGAAGGGACTTTTACCCTGGCATCTGCCCAGCATCTGCCTACGGTAAGTATGATACAAGGACACCAGAAAATTAAGAGCCTCACTCGTGTGTGTGTCAGTGGAGGAGATTTGTGGAACTGACTTGTTTTGTGCCATTCAGCTTCTGTACTGCACGTGTGTGAAACAGAACCCGAATAAAACGTTTTTCACTTATTTCCTGTCTGTCTTCCCCTTCTCTGTCTCTCACTGTCCCGCAGGTCAGCGTGGAGGTTTTGGTAGAGTACCCTTTTTTTGTGTTTGGACAGGGCTGGTCGTCCTGCTGTCCAGAGCGAACCAGCCAGCTCTTCGACCTGCCGTGTTCCAAGCTCTCCGTGGGGGATGTCTGCATCTCGCTGACCCTCAAGAGCCTGAAGAACGGCTCGGTGAAGAAGGGCCAGCCCGTAGACCCCGCCAGCGTCCTGCTGAAGCACGCCAAGGCCGAGGCCCTCGCGGGCGGCAGGCACCGGTACGCGGAGCAGGAGAACGGCCTCCACCAGGGCGGCGCCCCGATGCTCCCCGAAAACGGGGAACTGAAGTTTCCGGAGAAGATGGGGTTGCCCACAGCGCCCTTGCCCCCAAAAATAGAACCCGGCAAGCCCGCGGCCACCGCGAGGAAGAGGAGGTGGTCGGCGCCGGAGAGCCGCAAACTGGAGAAGTCGGAAGACGAGCCGCCCTTGACTCTGCCCAGGCCCTCTCTAATTCCTCAGGAGGTTAAGATCTGCATCGAGGGCCGGTCCAACGTGGGCAAGTAGCGGCTGCGGCGGCGGCAGCGTGGGGGAAAGGAGCCCGGCCCTCCCTTTATCATTTATATCCAGATTACTGTACTGTAGGCTGAATAACACAGTATTTACATGGTATCCTCTTCCTTTAGGTTTCTGTTATGACCTTGTCGATAGAGTTGCAGCCGGTGTTGCGCAGGAGACGGTGCATATGCTTTTTTCCACGCGTGTCTGTCCGCGGGCGCCTGGTGGGGATGAATGGGGCTTTAGCTGCCTTTCCCAGCAGCGCGGGGAGCATCCGCTGGGCACTGACTGCTGCTGGTTTCGGGAGGAAGTTAGCGAGAAGGGGATTGCAGGGGTGTGTGTGTGAGTGTTGGGGGGGAAGGGGCGGGGCAGGGAGCAGGGGTGCCACAGCACGCGAGGGTCTTCTTCTCTCCGCCTCCCCCTGCCTCACGTTCTCAGCACGGGGCTGGAGCTCCAGAGACGCGTCCTCAGGAGGTCTCCTGTACAAAAGAAATATCAGGAACCCAGCCTCAGGGCATCCTTGAGAGGATGGAAAGCTAACCCTGTAAAAGAACATTATTCCCCCCCAACCCCCAACATATTTTACAATAAAAGCAACTTTTAATCATAGAGATATGTATTTCCCCCTATGGGGCCTGACTGCACTGATTTTTTTTTTTTTTTTTCCTAAGAGCAACTGCCACACGTGGGATTTCGTTTCTGCTTCGCTAGTCCAGTGCTGCCTCGGGGTGTCTGGTGGGCAGGCCGCCCCTGCTGCAGGGCTCCCTGAGGGTGCGGGGCGGCGGGGCCCACCCTGGTCCTGTGCAGTGTTAGGAAAACCAATCAGGTGGTCGCGTTGACTTCCTCCCAAGAGGCAGAGGGAGCTGCCCTTCAGAGAGCTGCGGAAGCTCTTCACCGTGGGTTTGCAAATCTTTTTGTCTTTTAACTCTAGTACTGTTTATAGTTCATGGCTATGGACAACTCGGGTGCCACTTTTTTTTCAGATTCCAGTGTGACGTGAGGAATTGAATTTTGAAGATGAGCATATCTATTGCTATCTCTAAGCACTTAAAATGCTGTTCACACTTTATTACCAAGCATCTTGGTCTAGCATTCAACAAGTACTGTATCTCACTTTAAAGTCTTTGGGAAGAAGAAAAAAACAAAAAAACTAAGTTGCTATCTTTTTTTGACACTGTAACTGCATTTCAGTTCTGCAGAGTTTCTCACGTCAAGATATTGACAGTTTCAATGTGGTTTAAAAGGATGAATGTGAATCATGAACCAGTTATGTGACAATGAATGACCACCCAGTGCAGCCTGGCGGGAAGGCACTTTCACTTTGATGTTTGAGAAGGGATTAAAGGCATATGCAGAGCTGGCAGAGAAACCGAGAGAAAAGGGATGGAAAAAAGAATACTCATTTTTGTCCAGTGTTTTTTTCTTTTTATGACGAACTTTTTAAAGAACCTTGCGATTTGCACATCTTGAGTTCATAATTTGTGTGATATTCCTGCAGTTTTTATCCAATAACATTGTGGGATAGGTTTGGGGGACTGAACGAGCATAAATAAATGTAGCAGAATTTCTTTCTAACCTGCCTAAACTCTAGGCCATTTTATAAAGTTATGTTCCTTTCAAAATTTATTTTGGTCTTTCTACCACATCTGTCACAAAAACCAGGTCTTTGGCAGGACAACTCTGAAATTTTCTTCAGATTCATTGAGAGAGTTATCCATAGAGACATTTATATATGTGAGCAAATTTTTTTTAAAAACCTCATTGTTGTTGTTACTGTTTTTTCAGAATGACTTTTTTTTTTTTCATCTGAAATCAAATCAAGATTTGGTGTTTGGTACAAACCCAGAAAGGTATTTCAGAATTTAAACCTTTCATTCCCAGAGAAGTGAAATATTGTTTGTGGGTTATCAGTTTGCATCTCAAAGTGCTTTTAAAAAAAAAGTTTTATAAGTAGGAAGAAATTTTTAATATTCGTACTTGGAATGGCTGCAGCTAATCTGAACAAAAACTTCTGATTTTCCTGTTCTCATTGAGAAATAATACTTTTCCCATTTCACAAATTTAAGAAGTCCTATTTCAACCCACATTTTGGCTATCTAGTGTTCCTGCACATTTTGTCCTCACCAGGACTAATGAGCTTATAAACCATTTTCTGGAATGTACCAAAAACATTTGAATAGGTATAGAATAGCTAGAGCCGGTCCTTGACTCCGAATTTCACCACCCTTCCTGCATGCTCGCAGAGAGCTGGGTGGGCCCATTCTCGCAGTCATAATGCTCCTTTAGTGCTGTATTTTTTTAAAGCGTTTCTGTCCAGAGAACTTGCTTAATCTTCCATATATTCTGCTCAGGGCACTTGCAATTACTAGGTTTTATTTTTCTTTTTCTTTTATAACCTTTGGTGGCAAGAGGAATACGGGGCTGCCACATCGACTTTGTCCTCATTGGCGCCACTCACGTGGACTCAGAAAGACACACACCACCATTTGGCTTACTTCGAGCATGGAACTAACTGGACCCACACCACCAACACTGAAGTGGGAAAATATACATGGTTGGAGCAATAGGAATGTCGTCATCATTTTTGTGCTTCTATTTCAGGTATAGGAATTATAAGAGGATTGGTTCTTTCTCAGCATTGTCCCATTTCGCTCTCCTGCTTTTTCAGCATGTGCAATACTTTCCACGCCAATAGAATCTGATCCGTGTGCTCTAGTTAAAGCTCACACCCTTTTGGCTTTCTCCTTGTTTGGAGGGGAGGAGCTGAAAGGGGAGAGCCCCCCCCCCCCCCCTGCTGCAAGCTCCCCCTGCTGCTGTGGATGCTGAGTGCTGGGCGGGAGCCTTCAGGAGCCCAGGTGTCTGTCGCCATGTTGCAGAAAGATCAAGCAAAGGAGATCTAGGGGACCAGCTGCGGTACCGCTGTCACCACGATGAATAGTGAATGTGGAGTGTGTAGAGGAAGGAGGCAGAGTCATTTCTAAGGCGAACGCTGGAGCCATAGAGCCAGCATCAACCCATTTTCCACACCCTTTCCCGCAAGGGGGCAGGCCCCTCCTCAGGTCTGTGTCCTTGAGACTTTGAGCTGTGCCTCTGAGCCCGCAGGAAGTGACATGTGTGTGAACTGTGAGCGGCTGTGGAGGGGCCACCTGCCAGCACCGCTCACTCTCCTCTGTGGCAGCTTTCTCTTCGAATAGGAAGAACATCCAGGGGACAGGGAGCCGCCTCCTGTTTGCAGACCTTGCTGAAGGGAGGCTCCCAGAGCAGCCTTTGCCACCACTCCTGTGTAGCAGACCTGGCAGCGATAGGCGTAGACATTCTCCAGTGCCCTGCAGCTCACGAGAATCAGCCTTGTGCCTCTGTACCCTGTCCACTTTGCAATATTTGCTGACACTGTATTTAGTTCTTTCTTTCCTGTTTCCCACTTTTAAACTAATAACAGCAGGCCTTTTTGCATTTACAATGGAACACAATCACCAAGAAATTAGGGTGAAAAAGAAAAAAAAAAATATATATATATATATATATAATAAGAAACCAACAAACAAGAACCTCTCTTTCTAGGGATTTCTAAATGCAGAAAATGACTGTTCCTTCGAATGTTTAACTTGAGAATTATTTCAGTTTGTCTGGGCCACACTGGGTTGCAGATAAAGAGATGGGTGCCACTTACCTCAAACCTTTTGAAGTGGAAATCCAAATTGCATTTTCATTGGGACTTTCAGGATAATTTCCTATGTCAATCAACTTTTTTTTTTGTTTTGTTTTCCCCAACTCGCCCCGTTTGGTGTGGGATGATTTGATTTTCTTCACTGCTGTCGTTGATGCCTCTCTTAACTCTGCATTGTGACCCTCTGTGTTTTGTTGGGTGAGTGTGTTGGGTTGCCCCCGCAGGAAGTGGCAGCAGCTTCCCCCCTCCCCTTTCCCCCAGGAAAGCTGCGGAACCTTTCACACCTCTTACTCAGGGACGGGCTGGCGTGTGTGTGGCACACTGATGTGCCCGGAGCAGCACTTTGACTGCTCTGGAGTAGGGCTGTACAACTTCGAGGAATGTTTGGATTTCCTGCACCTTGTGGATTACTCCTTAGATCCTGCATAGATTGCAATATGATGCTGCATGTTTGTGAGGAACAGCAGCTCCTAGTAATCATAAATCCACTCTTTGCACATAGTTTGATCTTTACTGAAATATGTTGCCAAAATTTCTTTTTGTTGTTGTAGCTTTGGAACTTTTTGTTGTTGTTTTTTTTTTAAGGAAACAATTGACAATACCCTTTAACATCTGTGACTACTAAGGAAACCTATTTCTTTCATAGAAAAATCTCAATGCTTTCAAAGACACTAATGCCACGCAATTTGGGTGAAGAAGCAGAGCTCTTGGGATAGAAGGCCAGGCTTTTTGAGCTGTGTTGGTTGCCATGGCGACCGTTTCATGTACCACAAGCAGCTCAACAAACTGTGGCCTGTTCTCCCCTAACCCTTTGCACTTCCTGTTTTCTGGTCACCGTGACGATTCCAGGTGACAACAGGGCCGCCCGTCTCCCTGGCCCGACCCAGCTTCTTTGGTGGATATGAAAGAAAAGGGAATTATGCTTTTTGTATTCTTTAGAGTGGAGTGAAGGTCTTTGCTTCCACTTTTGTGTTTTCAACCCAGAATTTCTGAAATGGAGAATTTAAGACATCAAGTAATAACTATACAGAGAATATACTTTTTATAAAGCACATGCATATGCTATTGTGTTGGGTTGGTTTCCTCTTTTCCACGGACAGTGTTGTGTTTCTGTTGATAGGGAAACTCCAAACGATTTGCACACCTCTACTCTGGAGCCGAGACTTCTACAGAGATGACCTCGCTTCAAATGTTACTTACTGATGGGATCTTTTCTTGTAGCACTAGACCTTGTGGGAATTTCCTTTTTTTTTTTTTTTTTTTTCTTCCTTCTTTATAATGTACACCTAACCTGAGAAGCTGAAGAAAAGAAATTTTTGAGGCACTCACTTTGAGGAGTACAGGTAATGTTTTAAAAAAAAAAAAATTGCACAAAAGAAAAATGAATGTCGAAACGATTCATTCAGTGTTTGAAAAATATGGATCTGTTGAAACAATGAGTTTCATACCTTGTTTGTAAAAAAAAAAAAAAAAAAGAAGAAGCATAAAGGTTGAAAGTTACATGTTTTTCTTTGTATATAGAAATCCGTTGTGTCTAAATGATCAGCTGTGTATGGTTACGGCCTGGAAGAATTATTGCGTCAAAGGCTCTTCAACTATTACCTATGCTTCGTTTCTGTTTTCGTTACATAGAGCCCTCCTTCTAAGAGAGGGCAACTCTGCATTCTGCAGTTTGAGAATACTGTTCATTCCTGTGCTGAAAGTACTTCTCTGAGCTCCCTTCTTAGTTTAAACTCTTAAGCCAATGCAGCTCCTTTTCCTTCAGAAATGATATTTTGACATTTTCAGCACTTCCTGTTCCAATAAACCCAAAGAATATAATCCTGAACAAGAAGTGTTTGTAACAAGGGATCCTAGCTACCAATAAAACAGGACTCATTGTGAGGACAAAAAAATAAATAAAAAAATGTTCGGCCTTCTTCCCCCCCACACCTCATTTAAATGGGGGGGAGGCAAAACACGAAATCCAATTCAAACGCCTCGTTTCACTTCAGTTAAACTTTTTCTTTATATTGAGGCCAAAATAAACGTGGGACAACTTCTTAGAAAAGTCGTATCCTGTCCAAAAACCAAGCCAGCCAGCGGATACTGGACAGCTGTGGGGATATTGAGCAAACCCACCTACAGTTCTTACCTGCAGAAGCTCAGCTGCCCTCTTGCTGTTAATGGCAACATTTCTGGGAGCTGACGTTCACTTGTACCATGGCAGGAGGGAATTGGTGGCCTCCGTGTTTCAATTTCTTGTGTCCTCTTGACTTGTATACAAACGGTTCAGCTATATTAAAATTAAGTGCATTTGGCCAATAGGTAGTATCTATATAATAACAGTCTCTAAGAATTTCCGTAACTTTTCTTAACCTGAAAGGACTCGAGTCTTCCACTGCAGATAATTGGAGACTTTGCCCAAGTTTTCTTTCCCTTTAGTTTGTTCGTTTACTGTCTGGATGGCCAACGAGCCTGTCTCCTTTTCCATGGCCGGTCTGAAGACCTGTGTGGGAAGCATTGTTTACAGTCATCTTCGCTGAGACTGTTCTCTGGACTATCAGGGCTGAGGCGACGCTACCTTGGAGCTATTGTCTTTTAAAAAGCAGGTACCAAGCAGCCAGGTGCGTAGGTTTCCTCTGGTTCTCACATGAACCACCTGCTCTTAAGGTATGATTTGGCCCAGGAGTGGGACAGACCCTTCAGTCCGTGACCATTCGATGTGACACCTGTGCGTTGGGTTCTGTGCATACTGCCCTTTCGGCCTTGGGGGGAGGTTTCCTCATCCCCGGCCACCACTGCTCACCTGTAGATCCAAATCGGTGTCAGCTGACGGGAGGTTTCAGGACAGTCCCGGTCTCCGTGGTGGCCTTCAGTGACCACAGTGTCCTCACTTCTAGCCAGTGGGGTCCCGGCCCAGAGCCATCTCTGAAATCCGTTCCTCTGGATGTGTTACTATCTGATCATTCAAACTTCCAGCCGTATGCCTCCCACCGGCCAAGGGAAAGGAGATGCCAGAACGGTGGGCACTATCAGACTGACATGGCCAGTACAGAGGAAAACTAGGGAAGGAGTGATGATTTGCACCTTATCGAAAAGAAAATATTACGTGCATACATAGTTAAGAGCTTTTATTGTGACAGGAGAACTTTTTTCCATATGCGTGCATACTCTCTGTAATTCCAGTGTAAAATATTGTACTTGCACTAGCTTTTTTAAAACAAATATTAAAAAAAAAGGAAGAATTCATATTCTATTTTCTAATCGTGGTGTGTCTATTTGTAGGATACACTCGAGTCTGTTTATTGAATTTTATGGTCCCTTTCTTTGATGGTGCTTGCAGGTTTTCTAGGTAGAAATTATTTCATTATTATAATAAAACAATGTTTGATTCAAAATTTGAACAAAATTGTTTTAAATAAATTGTCTGTATACCAGTACAAGTTTATTGTTTCAGTATACTCGTACTAATAAAAATAACAGTGCCAATTGCAAACGTGTCCTTGCCTTGTGTCAGGTCCTGGAGGACCGTGGAGGCGGAGGCAACTGGGAGTTCCTCCTCCCTTACCCATGGGGGTGGGGGTGGGGTTGGGGGGGGTGACATCGTCTTTGCCTGTACGAGGGTGTGGGGAGGAGAGGTCGTGATGAGTTTCTGGGACAAAAGGCACACTTCCGCATCTGATGCTGTGCCTTGTTCTGTTCCCGTTTATTGCTCCTGTCTGAATTCCACTGTTTACAAGAGAGAATTGTTTCTAAACAGCTTTTGGCAGCTTGGTGTGCTCACGTAGCATCATGGACACATTCTGTACAGTTTCACTGTAAACTGGCTAATGGTCTGAAGGCACAGTTCACTGTAGTTAAAATGTTTCCTGTAGTTATGCCTGTTAGAAATGCAACATGTGGTAGTTGGAGGGGTGGTACAGGGAGGTCACTTGTTTGTCTTAAGCTGTTGCCCCAGAAAGTGGGTCCTCAAGGAGCGGTGACTTTCAGTGACCTTTGCCAGCTGCTTGCGTGACGATGACCTCCCAGCTGGGAGGCCCTGCAGAGGTGGAGGAGAACTCGGGGTCCAGGGAGCCCAGGGAGGGAGGGCAACTCTGCTATCTTCCTGGTTAGGTGTTTGGGAGACATCTCACCAGGATGTACTCTCGGGACTCACGGGAGGCCAATGCGTGGTGTATGTCGGGGTGTGGCAGAACGTGCACTGAGCCGACAGTGAGGGGGTGAGCCTCGCAGCCTGATAGGAAGCGCTGCCCGGTCCCTCCTCCTCCAGGGCAGTTTGGGTGGCCGTGCTGTGCGCTGGGGCACGTGAGGGGCAGCAGTCTGAACCGCTGCCTGCCCTGTTTTATTTTTTTAACATATTTTATTGATTTTTTACAGAGAGGAAGAGAGAGGGATAGAGTTAGAAACATCGATGAGAGAGAAACATCGACCAGCTGCCTCCTGCACACTCCCCACTGGGGATGTGCCTGCAACCAAGGTACATGCCCTTGACCGGAATCGAACCTGGGATCTTTCAGTCCACAGGCTGACGCTCTATCCACTGAGCCAAACCGTTTCAGCTTCCTGCCCCGTTTTAATGGTAGATGCTAATGGCTCTGACAAGTTTGGGGTCTGATGGCTGTGAGTCTACCTGGACTGATCTCTCTGATTAAGAAAAAGCCTTTGCTTCCCCGCTGCAGCCGGGGGGCCTGGCCACCGTTAAGCACACAACGGGACCCCGAGACGGACAGGTCGGCACCCAGTTTCCCAGCTCTTTCCCTTGTAACCCAGTTACCGCTGCCCGAAGGCCTGCACTCAGGCAACAGGGCTGCTTCCATCTGTGTCCCACATGCACCTAGTTTGTGGGCGGCTCCCCTCCCCCCATTCCTGTTGGAGGCAGAGATGAACTGGCTACCAAGTGGGTGCCTTAGAGTCACTGCAAATTGTGCAGCCTCTGCTTCCAGATGACCCAGCAGAGTGTGTGGTTTTTCCTATAACTCAGTTTTCACATCCCTAAAAACCTGAGCAAGGGACCTGCCTTCAGTTGGTTGGTGCAATGAAAGAGCCACTCTGCAGGCTGCGCGACACAGGTACCATGAGCAGATACCCAGCAGAGGGCTGCTCACAGGGGCCATTGGGTGATGGGTGTCTCCGCCCTGGACACTCTGAAGGGAGCCCAGGAGGAGCCCAGCCCAAGGGCAGACACTGGTAACAGTCCCTTCCTACTGACTACTGCTGGGACATCTTAAGTGGATATCCTCAGGTCCTTCTTTGTTTCACCTCTCTCCCTCATCTATCTAAATATAAAACCCTAATATGCAAAGAGACCAAATGGCTGAACAACTGGTCACTATGATATGTGCTGACCATTAGGGGGCGCATGCAGAACATGGCAGGTATAGGCTGTGGTGGGATGTTGGAGAAGGTGAATGGGGGCTCCAGACCAAGGCGGGGTGCCAGTTGCTGTCATTGGGGTGAGCCTCCGGTGGTTACTGAAAATTCTTTGCTCCCACATGCTGTGGTCCCACTTGGTGCTTGTATCTGCTGCTAGTGCTGGCCCCACTTACACTCGCTGCCAGCCCCGATTGCCCCTCAGGGCTTCTCCACCTCCCCCTGCTCCTGAGGGGTGATTGGGGCAGCAGCAATTGCTGGCACCCACTGCTGGCACCGGCCCCAATTGCTCCATGCTGTCAGCGGGTGTGCCCGGGGCCATCAGTGTGTGGGAGTGGCAGTGGCAGGAGCAGGGCTACTGACAGACAAGAGACTAGGAGCCATGGTGGGAGGAGCCAGGCAGGGGTTCGGAGGATGAGCCGAGACCCGCCCTTGTGCCCACCACAACCTTGTGGCCCACAGTTCCTTTCAAGCTGCATGAATTCATGCACTGGGCCCCTAGTTTTGCATAAAGAAACAATAAAGAGGAGTGTCAAGCACTCTTCCATCTTCCACAGGACAGCCTGGGGCTCACCCCTCCTGCTCAGCAGGCAGAAAAGGCGGGGTGCCTCCAGCACAGCCCCACATCTTGCTCTGACTACACCTCCTTGACCCTCACATCTCCAAGGTGTAGCCATCCACATTTCCACCAGCACAAGCATCGTTCCCCAGGGGTGTGGGGGAAAGGTATTCCAGTGGAGTTAAAGTCGCGGGTCTTTGATGGTATTCTGGTAAGACTGAAAACGGAACTCTGAGTGTGTGCGATTTGGTGGTTGCCCTCCTACAGTTGCCCTCCTTACTCTAGGGCCATTGCTGCCTTTTCAGGGAAAAGTTTACTCCTGTGTCTGTTTCTTTAGAAGTAATACCTGGTCTGCACACCCTCCAGTCCTATCCCTCAAGTAATGCTTCAGAAAGCGGCCAGCCGTCACCAATGCCCACGTTCACTGTGGACACAGCGGACACAGCGCCACCGCGGCCGGCTGCAGGGCTCCTGCCAGGCCCGGGTCCTCTCTCCAGGAAAGCACTAACACTCCTGTGAGTTGGTCATTATCCAGGAACACCGGTGGTCCTTCCTTCACAGCATAATCACCATGAGGGGATGGTTCTAGCTCATGTTTTAAACCAATGCTTTTAGGAAGCCACCGGTCAAATTGTTTGCTGGTTTTTTGTTTTTGTTTTTGTTTTGTTTTTTTTCAATGAGACTCTACCTGCTAATTTTTGGGTGGATAACCTTTCAGTAAAATATGGAGTGGAATTTCAAAGTAATGTATAATCTCTTGAAGAGAGAGGCCAGCCAGGCAAGTTGGGACTCAGAAAGGAAGGGGAAGAAATGGAGGAAACAAAGCTAAGTGACAAACCAGAAAAGGGACAGGGACAGCGTCCCAGAACGAGCACCAACTGGCAGGGGCAGAGGCGCTGGTCCCAAAAGACTCAGCTAACAAAGGTGATGACTCACATCCCCGCCCTCTGAGAGGAGCTGTGGAAGCCGGCGCCTCCTCACCCCTCCTGTGCTTTGGTTCTTCTCCAGAAAACGGAAGGAAGCCGGAGCGGGGAGACTGGTTACCCTCACTGTTCCCCCTCCCCCTTCCAGGTATCTGGACTGAGAGCCACCAGCTGGCATGTCTGGGAAGGAGGTGGGAAACCCCCAGATCCCCCTACAACATGGTTCCTGAAAAAGCAAACTCCGGGACTCGGAACGTCTGAAGATAACAGCAGTATATTCAAGTGAAACCATTTTCTTTTTAAAAAACAAAGAAAAAGGTACGAGTGTTAGTTTTCACAATGAGGTTATGAGTTCCGGGCAGCTGGCAATGACCACTGACCCTCTCAGTGCTCTGCCTCCTGCCCCACCACAGGCACCAGGGGACCCGGTGCCTCCAGGCGGCAGGAGGGGTGGCAGGTCCTGCCATTCGGGAGCAGCCCGAAGCTCAGATGGTCGGGGATGTGGATGCAGCGTGTGGAAGCTTCCAGCCGGCACCTGCCCCAGGCTAGCCGAACACTGTGTTGTGCTGCTGGGTCACCCGGATGAACGTCGTCCTCTTGCTGAGCTCTTTGAGTTTGGCGGCCCCCACGTAGGTGCAGGTCGACCTCAGTCCCCCCAGGATATCCAGGATCGTGTGTTCTACGTTTCCTCTGTAAGGCACTTCCACCGTCTTGCCCTCCGACGCTCTGGGAGAAAAAGGAAGTGCTCTTTTACCCCATCTCTTCTTCCTTAGGGACCAGTTACTCCCAGCTCTCGCCCCTGAAGCAGCCCCAGGGCCCTCGGTAGCCAAAGGCCCCAAACACCAGGATGGCCCCGCCCGCATCTCAGATGGGCAGGTCCTCGCACCCGAAATGCCTGACCTCCTGCCAGCTGCTCAGAGCACCAGGGAAGCATCTGTGAGCAACCCAGACCTGCTCAACGCATTCCTCTCAGCAGCGGGCCTCCCCTCTGCCCCACAGAAACTCACTTCACCTTTCTCCCCACCTGTCTGAGCTCCTGTCTCCCGCTGTGGGCAGGAGAGCAGATGTGGGGGGTTATCTCCAGGCCAACGGACACCGCCCCTTCTTCTCCTCTCCCTGATCAACAACAGAAGACCCTGGAGCTTCACCTGAGCGTCTCCCAAGGAGTGGGGGAGGAGGAGGAGGAGGAGGAGAAAGAGGCTGCCAATGAAATGCACACTCTCACCCAGCAGGTTATGTAGGCACCTCCACCAGCAGGATGCCCTGACTCCCCTCCAACAGCTTGCCTTCCCAGAGGGCAGGGCGCTGTGGGGCACATCCCCCCAGCTCACACCCGCACTCACGCAAGTCATACACCTGCGGTGCTGGGTGTGGGGTAAGGTCCCAGCAAGGTGGAACCAGAGTAGAACTTGGGACTTTTTTTAGCACCGAGCCTTGAGGGCTTAGGTTAGCATCTTCCTGTTTCTGGAGGAGCATTCAGAAACTCCGGTCCAGTGTAACGTGCAAACCCAAAATCTGTCCTTGCTGAGTTGGCCCTTCCTCACAGCCTCCAGTGACACTGACTCCACACGTCAGGTCCCTTCCTGCCAAATGGGGACACGGTCCAGACCCGCTTTTGGAGAGACTGCGCAAAAAAGGAGACCCCCAATCTATACAGAACTCTAGCCCCACCTACGGGCCAATCTGGAAATTTTAACAATTACCAAATTGTTACTGGAACTTTCTCTAGCTGGTCTCTCTTCAACTATTAAAATACTACCTCTTGATTAGAAACATAGTACCTGAAATTTCAAAAGGGAAAAACTCTTGTATCCTGAAACCTACACATGCAAGACTGCCCTTGGGTGAAGTCTGTATAGACCATGACTAGGCCACGGGCTGGGCTGGCGGCTGGCTTAGGGCACTGATTCCAGGAAGCGGGAGACTCAGGTCACTGCTCTCTGTGACCAGAGACAGCGTCCTTGCACGCGTGCCTGCCATGCCTGCCCTTTCATTTTCTGAGGCCCAGGCCTTCCGGGGGCTTCCTGGAAATCACCCAGATTTTCATCCTGGTTCTCTGCTAACTGCTGACAGCACCTTTTGCAAGTCCTTTACTGCTGCCGCTCAAGTCTTCTCACCTGTAAAACAATGGTGCTTTGATCTCCTAAGGATGGACAGCATGAGGACTAAATAAATGGATAACGACTGGGAAGGAACTAGCACAGCATACATAATGGGGTCTTAACTAAACAATGTCAATGAGGAGAACCATTCTTGTGAGGAGACAATGGTGATGAGGCTGCAAATGCCCAGGAAAAGAGAGGGAAAGGTGGAAGGGAGGAAGGGAGGAAAAGGAAGATGGAGAACAGATACATCCTGCAGGGCTCAGGCTGCCTTTTGGGTCAAAGTCCTGATTCCTCCAAGGGTGTCTCTTTCTTGTCTCAGGTTCGAATACACTTTCAGATAAGAGTCTTGCTGCTCCTGAATATTTTATCTCCTGTTGTGTCTGGACCCTGCTGACATGACAGGAGATGACTTTTCTTTTGGCCCCTTGGCTTCTGTCCATGCTGGAGCCTCGTGGGCCTTCCCTGTCTGCTTTTCTTAGACCCCGAAACAGATGCGACAGCTACAGGGCAAACAGTGTACTCCAAGCAAAGTGGCCAGCTGCCGCCCCCCATGGCTCCTCACACCCCAGTGCCCAGGAGTCCCCGCCCACCTGGGATGTGACAGTGGCTGCTGGGAAAGCGGGAGCTTGGCCAGAGGTCCCCCCTCCTCCATCAGTCACCACACGGGATGGCCGTCCTCAGGCTGCAGGGGAAGGAGTGTGCCCTTGCTCTGATCATCGGAGGTGGCCAGTCAGTCCCCTACTCCTCTTTCCCAACCCGCCTTCCCCATTCTATAATGTTCTATTTATTGAGGTCCCCCCAAAAGAGAAAGACTGGCAGAGAGAGGATGGAAATCCCCGGTTCCCTACAGAAGAAAGAGCTTGAGAGACGGTGCCCCACAGTGCCCCCCCCCCCCCCGCCTGCCCACCTGCCTGCCCACTGCAAATCTCTGGGAGTGCTGATGTTTCACCTCTGGATTGGTTTGAACCTTATGTAATGCACCTGGATCCCATGTCCTTACAATAAGCGGTTAGTGTGGAAGGAATGGTGGGACATGGAGGGTAGGAATGGTAGGACACAGAGGGCTTGGGTTCCATCCCAGCGCTGAGGCTTCTGGGGAAAGACAGTTGGCCTCCCACAGGGGACTTTCTCCTGAGTCTAAGGACCTCCGTCCTGCCCCTCCGTGTGCCCTGTCATCAGCGCCAACCCCAATAAGGGCAACAGCAGCCTCTCTGGAGCAGGGCAAGATCATAGATATATCGTCATATAAACACACATGCAGGCAATAAAATGGAAGTGATTTTAACCACTGTCGCCCCAATAAACCTAACTTAACGGTAAAACAATAACGTAGATGGAAGTGAACTAAAGGCCAGGTTATCTTTCAGGATCATGGATTTAAAAAAAGAAGGAATGCAGATGTAGCATCCTGTCTACAATGAGGGGCAATGACGTGGCTAAAGATGATGCCTGTTTCAATGGTCAGAGCCGACAGGTGCTGTGTGAGGCCCGTGGGCGAAACATGGCATTCTTCAAGAAAGCCGAGCACCACATGATGGTCCAGAACCATACCTGTTTCATACGCAATGAAGACCCTTCTTCAACCCAATTCTCGCAGCCTGCACACATACCGGGCTAGAGGTCAGAGGTCACTGGGAGAGATCAGCAGAGGCTCTACCATAGGGGTGTCGAACTCAATCAGAGAAGGGGCCAAAATCTAAAATCCAGCCTAAATCGCGGGCCGAATGGTTTACTGAACAGTCATAAACTGTCATTGTGATGGAAACGCAGCGGAGTGCAGTGATGACAGCACGGTGCAGGCCACATTGCAAGGCCTGGTGGGACGGATTTGGCCCGCGGGCCTTGTGTTTGACACATGTGCTCTACCAGAAGGAAGTCTGGAGTGTCACCTCGGGGACTGGTGAGCAGGAGCCCTCCCTACTCACACACACCCCAGTCCATGTCCAACCCATCCCCAATCAGCTCTGCCATCACTGCCTTCTGAGGGCCCCCAGCACTGCACACTAGCTGGGTAAGAATATGGCTACTTACAAAGAGCGAGACAGGTTTTGCAGCCCCTGCCCGTAGTGCTTTCCTATAAAGAGAAGCCACGTGCTTTGAGACCTGCTTCCACCCGTTTCTGAGAGGAGCAGGAGAAATGCGAGTCCTTGCCGGCGAGAAGCCTTACCTGTACTCGGCCACCCCTCCTGCGTGTTTCTTCATGGCTGTTTCGGAGCTCATCCCATAGAAGAGCTTGAGCTTCTGCCCGTCCCTCTCGATCACCTCCCCAGCACACTCGGCGTGGCCCGAGAACATGCCTCCGAGCATGACGAAGTCTGCTCCGGCTCCTACACGCCCAGCGTGGGACAGGAGGAAGCAGCAATGGAAAGAGCTCAGAGAAAACAGGCTCCGGGAAGATCCAAGTGCCACCCCCTCTCACCCTCCCGCCACCTAGCTACCATCCAAAGAGAAGCCCACCTCTCCCTTCCGGACAAAGTTTAACAAGGGCCAGTCCTCCGTCATCAACAATGAGCACCTTCCGAGGGTGAACTTAGACTCTGAGCAGCATTGGAAGCTCCCCGCCGTCCATCTTATCCCTGATGCAGTAACTGCTCTACAGGCGTCTGGTCTACCTTCAGCTCTTGGCACGCTCACACCGTGTACATTGTGAGGACTCGGAGCAGACCGAACCTCCTATACCGGAATGGCATGAAGGACAGACACCTGCACCTGTGTATGTACGCATGGACATGTATTGTGTAAAACTCGACCTCCCGCCTCTGTTGTGATATTTGCCTTCTAGAATAAATAATATCCCATGTTAATCACCAAATGGCATGAAGCCTCCAGGCCAAATGCAGAGGACACAGGGGTGTTGACGCTGCCTTTGAAGGCTGCACTGGGACAGGGCCAGGAGCTGCTGGAGCAGCGGGACTGGCCACTGCCGCGTCCCAGGTCTGTCCCAGTGCCTGGCACATGGGAGACGCCCATGCCTGGTTGTGAAGGAAGTAAAGGGTGTATGTGAACAGAAACCATCCCACCCCCACCCTGTCCATGGACAACTGTGCAGACAGGGTCTCCACCGACTGCTACAAACCACTGCAGCCGCTGCCCAGGAAGTCCTAGCGAGGGTTCACATTCGGAACACGAGGACACCAGGGGACGGATACACTACGTCAGTGGTCAGCAAACTGTGGCTCTCGAGCCACATGTGGCTCTTTGGCTCCTTGAGTTTTTAGCAAAGGCAAACTTAGTAGTACCCTAATTAAGTTAATAACAATGTATTAACAATTAATACATTGTTAATAACAATGTAATAACAAACTACCTAGATAGTTTAAGTTTAAACTATGGCTCTCAAAAGAAATTTCAATCGTTGTACTGTTGATATTTGGCTCTGTTGACTATTGAGTTTGCCGACCACTGCCTTAAGTCATTAGGATGAAGGACAAGGAGGAGCAAGCATAGGAACCCTGAAAAGTGGCCGTGACCCCTTCCATCTGGTTATTTAAATAGTTATGAGGACTCCGGGGGTGGGTTGGGGGCTCAGTCTTACAGTCCCTTCTGCCAGCATCTCTGACAGGCAGGCTGCCCAGCAGGCCCTTTGGCCTGGCACCACAGGGCTTCCTGCCTGTAACCAGCTTTGAGCCATTCCTTGCGGGGTCCCTAACACAGATGCTGGCTCCGTGGCCCCTGTGCCATGATTCTAAGGTGACTGAGAAAGCGAGAGTCAGCCAGGCCCCCTGATGACCACAGCCTGGGAGCAGATGGAAACAGCGGGAGCACAGACACAGGTCCTCAATGGTGCTTTGAAGAGGCTTCTAATGAACCTCGTTTCTGACCCTTCCAGGCCTTTCCCACCAGCACGTTCCCTGATCCAGTCCCTCTTCTCATGCTCCCTAGCTCCCCCTGCACTTGCTGGAGGGAGAGCGGACGAGGAAAGACTCTAGGAACCTTGCCCAGACCTGCTACCTACGAGGCTCCTTCTTCGGGACCAGGCACCTTAAAGTGTACTCACTCCCGCTCTGAGCAGGGACACGCGTGCACCATTGAGAAGATGCTGCTCCCACCCATCAGCATGGAGAAGAGGCTGCTCAAAAGTCAAAAGTGAAAATGTCCTTGGCCGGTGGCCCTTCCATCAAGGTAACCGAGCGTGCCAGGACAGCGAGAGGCCTGTGTTCTCCCTGCTCCGCCCCGAGGCTGGGACCCTGACTTTGTCATTTGCCTCTTAGAGCCTTGTCCCTGGGACATTCTCCAGGGTTGCTACAAACCCAGCTGCTGAGAGCACTGCCCCATGCTTCATTACCAGTGTTTAAAAACAAAACGAGAGCCAGTGCCCAAGCCTAGAGCATTCCATGGGGTGAACTCTGAACCAGTGATGGGGGAGGAGGGGCCACACTGGTGAGGGGAAGAGCCACGGGCATCCCTGATGTCAAAAAGTCTCCCTTCATTGAGCAAGAACAAATAAATCAACCACAAATGTGACTGTGAGGACAGGAGAGGAGGGTGGAGCCATGGAGTTCGGTTTCTGCCTCCTGCCAGTGAATACATAGGGCTCCCACTCCACACTCCGGAGAACCCAGCCATGTGGGCAGCTCTGACCTCTGCACAAAGTTTGCACGGGTTGAGGGTTAAGCGGTGGGCACAGTGTGTTGAGATGCTTTCCTGAGAAAAACCCACTGGCTCACAGCAGGACACTGCTGCCCCCTAGTGGGAAACAGGCTCCTCAGCCTCCTGTAAGAAACTGCTTCTGAGAAGCCAGCCCCCTGCTGGGGTTTCCCCACAGACCCTCCCTGAGGTTACTGCTTATTTGGACCTGATCCAGTCCTTTCTACAAGACCTGAGCCTTCTCAGCCGTGATTTCTGAGCCATGACTTCACCACCCCTGGCCTGCAGGATGCTATCCCTAAATCTATCCATGGGTGCTCGGCCTGCTCTGCTGAGCCAGAATGAAACTGATGCCAGGATTTGGGTCTGAAATCCAGGGAGAGGACACTCAGGACTGGCCCAGAAAGACCCCTGCAGGTTCCACCTCCTCATTCCAGATTCCCCCCAACCTCCCTTCCAGGTCCCCACCCCTCAGCCAGCTCACAGCTGCAGAGAGCTCCCCCCCGCCCCCCACCACCCCATCCTCCATTCTCCTCACCAAAGGCTTTGGCGACATCTCCTGGACACGTGCAGCCTCCATCCTTCAAAGAGGAGAGCAGAAAGGGTGTCAGTGGGAGCTCACCAGGCCCTCCCTCTTTCCTGAGGTGACTGGGAGTTGATACCCATACCCACCCCAGCCAAGTACACAACCCTCAGAGCCAAAGCCAACACGCCCCTCAACAGGCACCGTCCACCCCAGCCCTGCCCTCTGCCTGGGAAGCTGCTGAGCACCAGAGGGGCTCTCTCCTCCTCCTCCTCCTCCTCCTCAGCACGCCCAGCCATCCGCCCTCCCAGTTCGCTCTCATTCAGTAGTCACCTCTCCCCACCTGCCTGGAGTGAGGTGAGATTTATTTAGTACAAGGGGTGGCTTATTTTAAGAGCCAGAAAGAACACCAAATTCGGTCCTTTATATTCCCAGGCCCCCCATGTTTCTAATTCCCCTTCATGTAATGTGCCCAGTTACCTTAGTCAGACATGCGTTCGTGACACTCGCCCTCCCCACCCAGGACAGCCTGTTATCCTGGGCTGCCCGGCAGGGTTATGTCCAAACGCCAGCAACCCAGTACCCGGTTTCCGGATGCAAAGCTGCTGTGCTTCCCCACACACACACAGAGGGCACAACGTGACCAAATCCCTGCTATTCTGTGCACACCGTGGCCGTGTGGGGTCCAAGAAGGGGAAGGGTACAGGGCAGTCTGAAGCAGCAGCCAGGCCCACCGGGAGAGGCCAGGAGGCAAATGCACGGGGCAGGCAGGGCTGGCGCTCAGGGTGGTGAGAAGTGATAGAGCCCAAACTCAGGGCCGGTCTTAGAGAAACAGCAGGTCTCTGAGGGAAGCATCTGTTGCAGGGAGGTGGGGCCCGCCCTCAGGGCGGCAAAGAGCACTGGGAAGAACACAGAACACAGGCCACCAGACCGCCTTGCTTTGCAATTGGCAGGAAGGTGGGTGCGCCGCTGGAGTTGCTCTTTCAAAGGTACAACCCATATGCCCTTCATGTGTCCTGCCAGTTATTTTCAAAGTGCGTTACCTCTTTATCTAAATCAGTACAACACTATAGGGTTTCAAACCTATAATCACAACTTATGATAATAAACTCATGCTTCTGTTAAAATAGGACCCTACCAGCCCTGGCTCATGTTGCTAAGTGGTTAGAGCATGGGCCTGCATGTGGGAGGGTCACAGGTTTCGTTCTGGGTCAAGGGCATGTACTGGATTTCGTGTTTGGAGAGCAAGCCGGAGGCGACCAGTCAATGTGTCTCTTTCACGTTTGACGTTTCTTTTTCTCTCCATCCACTGTCTCTGAAAAAGTAATGGAAAAAATATCCTCTAGGGAGGATTAACAACAAATAGTTCCCTAACAATATTTGACTTTAAACACACACACACACACACACACACACACACACACACACACACACACACCCCTGACGCCTTTTGCTCACTTGTGTGTGAGTAAGTAGCCTATGACTGCTGGGGTGTCTCCTGTGGGGCCCTGAAATTCCACGTCAGTGTGGTCAGTGTGAGGCCGCAGAAGACCTGAGCTGCCAGGACCCTGAGCAAGTGCGCTCTGCTGCCAGGATGGGCCGGATGTGCAGCGAACAGGACGTGTGACGTGCTGTGGAGAGAAGTCACTCTCACTGCAGCCTCTGCCCACTCTGTCTGGGTGCCCACTGTGAAATAAACACTGCAGAGTAACACGCTGATGACACGTCGCCCAGTGCATCCCAACACCACACTGTGCCTCAGGGCACGCGGATGCTCCCTGCCTCCTTTTACAGATGGTTCCCAAACTTGTTCAAAGCATGATTCCATGTTCTCAGGAGCAGAGCAGTAGGGACAACCTCCGGTGATGAAAGGAAGACATTGGTTTTCATACCGAAACATTCATAGCTGCTGGAAGCTGGTTTTAAAGGAAGTATGCAGGGCGTGTGCCAGCAGCACACACACTAAAAGGGTGTGCAGGTACTCAGAGGGCTGCGTGTTTTGTGTTTCATGGGTGTTAGCATTACACTTTAGTAGGAAAGGCATCACATTACATGAATGGTGTTCAATCGGTGAACTGTCAGGTTACCTCTTCTTAAAAAAAAAAAAAAAAAGAGCCTTGCTTGTCCCTAAAATAATGGGTAGTAAAAGCAAGCATGGGGTAGGCAGAAGAAATTTGAATCAAACACCGACTATAAGCCAGGAACTGTTCCAAACTTGCCTTGTCTATTCAATCACCACAAGAACCTGAAGTTGGTATTTTGTAAGGGGGGAGGAGTGTGGGAAGGATAAGGGAGGCTCAGAAAGGTTGAATGACTTGCCCAAGGTCACACAGCTATAATAATAGAAGAACAAGACTAGAACCGTGGTTAAGAGAAAACTCTAAAAATGTCTAGAAGCATACCTATCAAAGCATTAGCAGCGTTTAGCCTAAGATGCTGGCAGTCCTAGTCATATTTATTTCCTTTACTTTATTTGCATTTTCTAACTTTTTCTAAGCTAAACCTACTTTTGTTGAGGAATTTTTCAAACCTAAAAAAAAAAATTATTTGAAATAATTTGTGTAGGTATTTCTAAATAAAGGTCTAGCTGTTCGTAAAGTACTACATTAAATCAATAAAATTATAGGCACCAAAACCGGTTTGGCTCAGTGGATAGAGCATCAGCCTGCGGACTGAAGGGTCCCAGGTTCAATTCCAGTCAAGGGCATGTACCTTGGTTGCGAGCACATCCCCAGTAGGGGGTGTGCAAGAGGCAGCTGATCGATGTTTCTCTCTCATCGATGTTTCTAACTCTCTATCCCTCTCCCTTACTCTCTGTAAAAAAATCAATAAAAAATATTAATAAATAAATAAAATATATAAAATTATAGGAAATTTGCTGATTAACCTTTACTTCTTGGCCAAGGGCCAATGAGGGGACGAGGGCACTGCCTGGGTGTAGGGAAGGAGAAGGCTGGGGCTGCTTTGAATGAACCAATGCTCTGTCATTAACAGACCCCCACAACCTCCGTGATAAGCACGTTGATCTCAAGTACAGAAGAGACAATACTAGTCCCATCAGAGATACAAAGTCCAAGCCATTGGGTTGTTGGTATAAATCTCTCCCTTTCCAATTGTCTGGTGGGTGCTGATTCTTGACTCTGTGCTCGAGAACTCTGAGGGGGAAGGACTTGGTATCTATAACAATAAAGGCATAATATGCTAATTAGACCAGATAGCCGAACGACCTTCTGGGCGTGCTTCTGGATGACCTTCCAGACGAAGCCAGGCTGCGAGGGCTGAGCCCGTTGCATGAATTTTGTGCACTGGCCCTCTAGTGGAACAGGTGAAACTGAAGTTTCCGGAAGCAATGTGGTGGGAACATGAGCAGGCTCGGGATCCTGCGGAACCTGCATTCTTTGTGACTGTAGCAAGCCCTTCACCCTCTTGGAGCTCCCTCAGGTCAGGGGGGAAAGTGGAACACCAGAGATGAACAGACTTCGGTCTGAGTGCTGACTCTGCCGGCTACCAGCAGTGTGATGCTGAACAAGTTACTTAAGGACGCAAAGCCTCAGTCTCCTCACCAGGGATGATTATTAATTGTATGTGTCACCTTGACTGGTTAAACGTTCACCTGCGTGTGTCTGTGGGGTGTTTGTGGATAAGGGTCACATTTGAATAAGTAGACTGAGTAAAGCAGATTGCCCTCTCAATGTGGGTGGGCCCCATCTAATCAGCTGAAGGCTTAAATGGAACAAAAAAGTTGACCCTTCCCAATGAAGCATTGTAACCTTCATCTTGAATAAAAAAACCTGCTGTTTGAAATTCTCTGATATTGTTAGATAATCCTTTGTCCCGTAAACTGTCAATATAAACTATGTCACTTTAAGACAGTCTCTTCTTATTCTATAAAATGACTTTTAGTTCAAATAATAAAAAAAGATAAACTTAACTGTCTGACCTTGCAAGCTAGTCATCCAATGTAATAGACTAATATAGACTAACACTGATAATAATTCCCATATTCTTATGCCAAGCACTAACTCATTATGTATTCAAGGTTACAACTGTCTGTAACAATAACTCACACAGAGCCCTTTGTAATATCTGCAAACAAAGAGGCTTGAAAAGTATAAACATGGGAGACTTCCTGTATGTGTGGCTCAGAGATTTGGAAGAGATACCTCCCTCTGAGCCTCGCGCAATAAACGGCTCCTAATTAATTGGCTCATTAAGGTGTCTTGTATCTCATTCACTGATTTATGATTCAATGCCAAGAGAACTTTTCCTAATTGACTGCCTTTGAATTGGGAAATGAGTTTTTTCCTCCTCCTGGTTCCAAGTGAAATGCTGGCTCTTCTAGGTTCTCAGGCCTGCAGACCCAAACTGAACTCACCATCAGCTTTCTCTAGCTTGCTGAGTCATCCTGCAGATCTTGGCACTTCTCGCCCTCCATAAGCACATGAACCAGTTCCCTCCAATAAATCTCTCTCTCTCTCTCTCTCTCTCTACACTGACTCTCTCTCTCTCTCTCTCTCTCTCTCTCTCTCTCTCTCTCTGCTGGATGTTTCTCTAGAAAACCCTGACTAATACACCTATCAAAAGATAATAGCTACCCACAGGTTGTTCCAAGGATTAAAGCTTATATGTATGTTTTGTCTGGCATATAGTAGATGCTCAATAAGTGACAGCCATTACTTCCTCCAAAGTTGTTTAAAATCCTCTCCTTTGTGTGATGTCTTTAGCAGATGACAAGAGCAAATTAACTGGTCACACCTTCACCCTCACCTACATTGGGCAGGGGGGTGGGGGGTGTTCCTGAATTTTTTTGCTCTCTGCCTCTCAGAGCCCACATGGGCCACAATAAATAGAAACCTGATTCAAGTCCAGCCGCTTGGGTGTAAGCACCTGCTGAACAGACCATGTTGCAGCTTCTTTCTGAATGTCGCCAGCGTGGATGTGCTAACTCAGCAACTAAGTGGGGAAATGAGACAGCTGGAAGGCACCAGGACAAAGTGGCAGAATCCAAAACATCTGATGCGTTTCCAGCGGTGTTAGGACAGCCAGCAAGTGGGAGAAAACTACTTGTGAAACTCCATTGGTCAAAGGGAAGGTGGGTAAAAAGGCATCTCTGAACCCTAAGACACTAGCTGGTCAGAAGGAATGAGCTGAAGTCAAGAGTACAGACCCACATAAGTCTGTGGACTTCATTTGCTCAAAACGAACTTCTAACCCCTTCTAGGAAATCCCTCATGTTAATGGAAAGTGAAGAACCTCGGAGCACCAGGCCACACTGCCCCTAGCTAACAAGTCTGCTTATTCCCTGGCGCTAGCGGATGAGAACTGCCTTTCCTCACCTCCTCCCCATACACATCAACCTACAAAAATCTGACTGCTGCCCCCAACACGCCACTGCACCTGCTCTCACCCCGGCACCCGCTGACCCACTGGCACACCCGCACCGCCGAGATGTGACCAGCTGAAGTGAGGTCGTCCTGCCTCCAATCCGAGGACTGATGTTCTTATAAGAAGGAGAAATTTGGACACAAAGACAGACATGCACACAGGAAGGGCACTATATGAAAACTGCAATAATGGTGCCACAAGCCAGGGAACTATTAGAAGCTCGAGAGGCCTGGAACAGAGCCTTCCTAGAGTTAGTGTCCATGGCCCCGCCAGCACCTTCACCTCGTAATTTGGCCTCCAGGCTGTGAGACAACACGTGTCTCTTGTTTCAGACCCCATCTGGGGCGGCCCTCTCCCTTCCTCAAAGCTCCCCACCTACCCGCCACCATGCTACCTGCCACCCTGAGTTGTTACGACTAGAATTCTTACTAAGGTGCCTGCCATGCTCACTGAGTGAGCTGTTACTGCAGGCTGCTCACTCCCAGGCCCACAGGATGCTGCTGGGTGAGTGGCAGCTGGAAGCAGGGCTGCCTCAGGGCCTGCACTCCTGAGGTGCTCCCCGACCTGACCTCCAGCCCCGCTTGGAGACTTACAGAGATGATGTGCCCCTTCAGGCCGTGGGCAGAGTCTGCGCATTCAATCACGGCACTCAGCTGGGGGTAGCCCACCCCGGTCTTGGTGCGGGTGGTGCACACGGAACCTGGGTGGAGGAGAGAGAGGGTTCATGCATGAGCAGAATGGGACACAAAGTGAGCCTCCATCACTGTCACATGGCAGAGGAGAGGCACGAGGGAGGGACTGCCCAGCAACTCGACAGAGTGGTTAAAAGCACACTATGGGGCCATGCAGCCCTTCGGGCCCTCACAGCTGTCACCAGCTCACATCTCAAGCATAACCCAGCCCACAGCCTGCCACCCTCACTCTCCCCTATGACATCAGCTCCCCTGACTGGCCACGCACTTAAACTCCCACCCCTTCCTACTGTCCTTCCCTTCCCCACACAACCACACTACATTTCAAGGGACCTCCTAGATTTTTCCCACAGCCTCCAGCCTCTTTACCTTCAATGTTTGTCAAATTACTAACTTGACAATGTTTGTCAAATTACTAACTTCTCCAGGCCTCAGTGCCTCGCCTATGACATGGAAATTAAAACACTGGCCTCACAGGGTAGAAATTAAGTGGCATAGGGAATAAAATCATTTGGCCCAGGACCTGGCACTAACTCTACTCCTGCCTCCTCACCCCCACTCTCACCCGAGTCTGTCCTCAACATGCCAGCCTGCTGTTCTCCATGATCTCAGTCTCTCTCCAACCCTGTCCGAATCCGCATCCAGCCTGGGCTCTGAGGTCAGCCTCCCCTCAGGATCCATACCAGCCACCTAAATGCCTTCATCCTCTTGACCTCTGTCTTTCCCACGGCCAAGGCCAGTCCTGGCCCACCATCCCTGTTATCCCAGTTAGGTCCAAGCCAAAGCACACCAGAGGCTCCCGCAAATGCCTGTTCTCCATGCCCACCCTCCCTCCCAGCAAGTGTGCACCTGCTCCGAGACCATGCAACCAAACCCCAAACGTCTCCCCTCCCGCTTTCCACACTCCAGCCACTCTGACCTTCCAGTTCCTCCTGTACAGCCAGTTTCTTCCCACCTCGGGATTCTCTGAACATGGTGTTCTCTGTCCAAACATTCGCCTCTGCACGCCCCTTCTCCCCCCTCCCTGCCTTGCCAACCCTTTCTCATCTTCCAGGCTTCATCTTAAATGTCACAGCCTCAGGGAAGCTGTTCTCACTGCATTCATTAAAAATAGAGGCACTTAAATAATTATTATTTGTGTCAGAACCAAGGACCATTTTTCTCTGCTGGGTGGGATAGCGGCTGCATGGATGCTCACTCCTGTAGAGCACTGAGAATGGAGCCTGGGCCTACAGAGCTATAAATAGTCACAGAAAGAATCTGAGAGCTCAATAATGGATCAGTCACCATATCCCTGTTGCCACTGCTTCACGCTCAGCCAGTTTCTGCTGGAGGCCCCATGGTGTCAACAACAGAGTGCCCTGAACCCGTCCATCTCCCGCCAGCGCTGGGGGTGAGGTTGTCAGAGCCCGGCCTCCTCTCCTGCCCTCCCCCCACCCCCCAGCAGCTTCACAGCTTCCCACAGATGTCTCCCAGGCGTCCTTAGGAACAGGGTCAGATAGAGAACCATGACCATACTCCCAGGCCTGGCTTCACCAAGAAAACAGGATGGGGGACCCCCTTCTCCTGCAACTCTCCAGCTGCAGGCCGGGACCCATCTCTCTACACCCATCCCTCACAAGAACACTCACAGTCCTGGAGCCCACCAGTGTCTCTCCCCGCCCGCCGCCCGTGCGTGCACTGTGTGAGGCACAGGTGCAGCTTCTAATCTCTGGCTCTGGGCCGGGACTGGCTTTCGCCCTCGCTCCCCTCAACTGCTAGCTCCTTAAGGGAAGCAGGGGCCTGGGCGCAGAGGCCTGGAGCTCCGCACAGGGGAGGGGAGGGGAGGAAAGGGAGGGGTCTTCTTCCAAATATTAAAATCTTTAATGTGAAATTATTTAAATTTCTTTAAGGTTAGAGTTGTACTTTTTGATGGTAGACATTTCCAAGTATCTCCTAGTAGGCCTCTTACAGTCTTCTACCAATCAGAGCAGTAAAAACCTCCTAAGTGTAACACGTTTGAAAGATCTGCTTTGCTCTCTCCGTTTCTATTTCCCAGTCTACTCTGCGGATGACACTGCCCACATTCTGTGAGTCCAGCCCGGGGTCCGCTCGGATCCACGGCCCATGGGAGGCAGGCAGCCTCCGCTCAGGACCAGGGTGGGCGTGAACCTGATGAGCCCCCAGGGTAAAGCGAGGGACTGGACCCACATTTCTCCCAGTCCTAGCAGCAGGGGTGCCCAGTTTTAATGCTTTCTCCCAGCTTCTGGGAGTTCCTCACTAACGGACCTTCTTTAAGGCTGTCATTTACACAGACATTACTCAGTGTTTTTACTCAAAAGAATCTGTGAAATGTCAATATAATCTCCAATTAAATTAAAGAAGCAGCCCCAATATAGCAGGCTCCAAAGGAGCCTCGGATCCTGCTCAGTCACGTCTGTTCCAGACAGACAGCCTGGGGGTCACACGGTGCCTGTGGGAGGACAGTAAGTCTTCAGGGAAACACACAGAGGACATGCATGAGGGCACTGCACACAGCTGAGTGCTCGAGATCACATCGAGAACAGCTCCTCGCGAGCCAAGAATGCTCTGCACCCCCACGTGCATGCAGCACCCACCGGCACAGCGGCAGCCACAAGACACCCTGCATGTGTTTCTGACTGAACGGGTCCCCGGTGCGCTCCCTGCCTTGGGAACAAGAGTCCTCCAGGTCTGCGTCCAGCCTGTTCTGTTCCATTACAAGCCTGGTCCATTGCAGCCCGTCCTACACGGGAGCTCCTTGTAAGCAAGAGCTGGGCCTTATCCTTTTTTACTTTCAACAATGACAGACACTCAGTAAGGAACAGAGTTGTCTTTCCTGTTGCTCAGAGCAGCAGTAGCCACCGGTGGTCCTAGGACCCACCAGTGGGCCGTGAGGTCCGGAAGTTTGGCGACCACTGGATCAGAGTGTGTTACAAATTGGCTTAGCCCAATGGTCGGCAAACTCATTAGTCCACAGAGCCAAATATCAACAGTACATGAATGAAATTTCTTTTGAGAGCCACATTTTTTAAACTTAAACTTCTTCTAATGCTATTTCTTCAACATAGACTCGCCCAGGCCGTGATATTTTGTGGAAGAGCCACATGCAAAGGGCCAAAGAGCAACATGTGGCTCGAGAGCTGCAGTTTGCCAACCATGGCTTAGGTGATTGGCAATATAAAAAGCCCAATCTTGACTATCTCCCCTGTTAACGGCTCAGGGGCTCTCCTGTCACAGTTCCTCGAGGCTCTCCTTTTCCCTCGAGGCTCAGTGAGCACATCACAGCCCAACGGTGTCTTCCCCCAGCAGCACCTGCCCACACCCTTCTCCTGTTAGCTTATGATCTGCTTCCTCTCTGGTAATGCTTTCTGGGGTAGGCACTATTTTTTAAAACTGTTTTTATTTATTTTTAGAGAGAGAGGAAGAAAGTGGAAGAGAGAGATGGAAACATCAATGAGAGAGAAACATTGATTGGCTGCCTCCCGCATGCCCCCTGCTGGGTGGGGATCGAGCCCACAATCAGGAATTAAACCCATGAAATCTTGGCTCATAGGTCAATGCTCAACTACTAAACCACACTGGCCAGGCGATATTTTTTTAAGTCTTTGCTGTTTTTATTCCCAACTAAAAATGTGTATCTTCTTTCCTTGGTTCCCATTTTAGTGTCTGGTTAATAATAAATGTGAAGGAAGAATTTAAAAGCATGGAAGCTCAGTTCAGGTATGGTTAAAGGGGTCAGCGAATGCCAACTGGCCCAGAGAGAAAATGGAGCCACCAGTATAAGAACAGAAAGGTTCTGCCTTGTCCCCCGACTCAAGATACCAATGAGCAGTCCTAGGAGAGAAAGCCAAGAAGAATTGGACAAGTCTGATATAGATATGTACCAACTGAGAAGCCAAAGAAAGACTGCCTGGGTAACACACGGGTCACGCTCAATATGGCCTCACAGCTGCGTGCTATTTGCAGTGTTTGGGATCCTTCAAACACTCACAGAAACCTGAGTTATTCATGTCTGTGAACTGCCCCAGGGATTCTTCACCCCTCATCTTCCTCTTCCCAGTAGAGATGGTCATGGACGAAATCTGCATCTTTCTCTTCCACAGCAACACCCTAAAACTTGGACCTCACATCCTAACCCACCCCCGCTCCTTGACAAGTTACCCGGGGGCATCAGATGGCAACTCAATGATGTTTCTAATGAAGAGCTTCTGTGGGAGCTCAATGAGATCCAAAAGAAATGTACTTTAACGTGTGGGTGGTTCACTCATGGGCTCCCTTCTGGCCATCTCCAGCCCCTGTAAGCCCCAGACCCCATTCCTCCCCCACACACCCCATCTGCTGTTCTTCCGGCAAGCCTTACCTGGTCCAACTCCCACTTTGATTATATCTGCTCCGGAAAGAATCAGCTCTTCCACCATCTCCCCTGTCACCACGTTCCCTGCCTGAGACAGAAAGAACACAGCTCACAACCATGGACTACTCCTGGTGGTACAAAGGAATGAGTGAGGACTCACACCTGGACCCAATCCTGAGCATGTCCCAAGCCACCAGGCAGCCAGGGAAATAAAGCAAACAAACAAAATAAAAGAAAGAAAGAAAAGGGGCTGCGGGGGTGAGGAGAGAAAACATTGGATCCTATAGGAGTACAGAATTTGACACCCGGACACTACATAGAGTATTAAACTCTATTATTTTACAACTCTAAGACCCTAGACTATCTAGATCAGGATTTTGTAAACATTTCAGCAATGGGCAAAATAAAATCCTACAAAGAACAAATACATAAAATAAGCTCTGCAACACTCAGCTGATTCAAATCTTGATTGTTGGGCATAAAATGTGTCACAGATTGTAAAACTCATGAAGAACCTTTGTGGAGCCCCAGGTGCCAGGAAACCCCTGGTCATCGCACAGCTGGGCAGACACTGTGTGCCCACCCTGGGGTCAGAGGTTCCCATGCAGATAGGAAAGGACAGAGGAGCCCTCATGGACCTGCTCCATTTTCGGAACACGGAGCTGTGACCCTAATAAAAGACATATAAGCCAGGAAGCGGCAGCATCTGAGAACCAGAGGATGCCTCTGGATTGGAAACAGCACCATTCTCTCACTGCAGGAGCCTGGGAGCCCTTTCTAACAACTTACTGTCCTGTGGATTCTTCAGCTGGTGCCCAGACGTGGTGCAATGCCTGACTGAATTCTCACAACGGTGCAGTCTTATTTCGGGAAGTGCATCCTTACGTATTATACTCATTCCACTCGTTGAAGTCCCACTGTCTTTCACCGAATTGATTCCCAGAGGGAATTTTTCCTTTTTGACCAACACAAAGTGACTCTTAACTTCGAATGAAATTGTCTTGGAAAAGGGCCATAAGGAGGGCTCAAAGCTGCTTTACTCCAAGCAGTGTCTGACAATCAAAAATGATAGATGGTCCAGAAAGAGGGCTCCAACATATGAGAACTGTGTTACAGGTCAGCGAGGAAATGAATCCCATTTCAAGAGACTGAGCTGGGAAAGGCATCTTTTGGGAACAAATATAGAATATCACTCATACTTTTCACCAAAACAAGCTTCAGGTGGATTACAGAGTTTAACTAAAAGTTTTATCCCCTCCTCCCCAAACTTAGAAGAAAACCACAAATACTTGTAATAGGCATAAAAGTAAAAAAATAAGCACGGATCTGCCCTGGCTAGAGTTGCTAAGTAGAGTGTCAGCCTCACACCAAAGAGTTGAGGGTTCGATTCCCAGTAAAGGACATGTACCTGGGTTACAAATTCCCGGCCCTGGTTGGGGCATATACATGAGGCAACAAATTGATGTGTCTTTCATATCAATGTTTCTCCCTCCTTTCTTTCTTCTTTCCCTCCCTCCCTCCCTCCCTTTTTCCCTTATTCCCTTCCTCCCTCCTTCCCTCCCTCCATCCCTCCCTTTCTTCCATTCTCTAAAAGTCAATGGGAAAATATCCTCAGGTCAGAATTAACAAAAACAAAACAACACACATAAACATAGATCTGTCTATCTGAAAATAAAAAGCTTGTGCACATATAAACACAGAAATTCATACATACAATCATCAAAACTAAGAGGCAATCAAGCTGGTGGGGAGAATGCCTGTAATTGTGACAAAGGGTTCCTGCCATAGGAGCTCTTCCAAACGTACAAGGAAAATGCTAACACCTCGTTGACCAGCTGCCAAAGGAAGTGAACAAACGGATGAAAGAAATACAACTGGCCAATAGACAGTGAAAGAATGGAACCTCACTAATAATTGATTTCACATATGAGACCAGTGAAGGACCACTTTTCACTTCACAAACTACTGGTGATTCTAAACACAAAATGCTAAAGAAAAAATGGACACTCTTTCTCTGCTGAAGGAATGTCTATTATAGTACAAGTTGTCTTAGAAAACAATTTCTTATGCACACGGAAGAAATGCAAAATTTCATACATAAGACTACTTCTAGGATTCCCTCCCAAGGAAGTAATCACAGATGAGGTCACAGGATTCGAGTACATGGATGTTATTTACAACAGCGCAACACTGTGAGTGTACTCCCCGGAAGGGGAAGGGCTCAGCAGTCCAGGGCCCATCCAGGGATGCTTTTAAGCCTCATTTAATGGCATGGGGAAACGCCCAAATGCTTTCAGTATAATATGCGGGAGACAAAAGGAATAGTAAGATCTCCACGTTGTTTTTGTTATTTTTTTTAATTTTGTTTTTTAATGTATTTTATTGCTGCTTTACAGAGAGGAAGGGAGAGGAAAAGAGAGTTAGAAACATCAATGAGAGAGAAACAACAATTAGCCACCTCCTGCACACCCCCCACTGGGGACGTGCCCACAACCAAGGTGCATGCCTTTGACCAGAATGGAACCCGGGACCCCTGAGTCCACAGGCCAACTGGGTAGGGCTCCACTTTGTTTTTAAAAAAAGACAGCACAAGTATATGTATATATGAAAACACACTCCCACATGCTAACAAATTATGTCTACATGGAGGGATTATCTGACTTTTAATCTTTTTCTTTAAAATGTTCTAGATTTAAAGTATAGGTTATATTACTTTAATTAAACATGATATTTTTTCTTTTGGTTTGTTTGTTTGTTTGTTTTTTTAAGCACAAGGACCTGCATGAACTCTGTGCCCAAAAAAGAACTTAATAGAACTCTGAGAAATAAGACGCTCATTCTTCCTTGCTGGTTGACCTGCTGAAAAATAAAGCTTTAAAAATTAAGATAAAAATCATTTTTAAAAAATAAAATAAATTAAGAAATCAAAAACTTAAAGACACTACTTTAAACTCCCCACAAATTTCATTTTCAATGTTGATTTCCACATCCTCCCCCGTACCCCCATCCCCGCCCAGTCCGGTGCTGCCTATAGTTCATTTTATTTCAGAGGGCCTCCTGCACACAAAATAAAATAGATCAAGTCAGCTCATGATGGACGAACCAGGTACAACCAGGCACGGTCAAAGCCTAAAAGCTCGAAGACAATGATGCTGTCTGGGAAGCCCAGAGGCTGGCAAGGGTGGCTGAGGGGACGCGGGGATACCTGTGGGCTCCTCGTTGAGGCCAGGCTGCGGTCTCCACAGAGGGCTGCTGGATGGAAAACCCCCGAATGCCAGGACATGCCTGGAGCCTGAGGAAACGCGACAGGAAGATGGGTGAAGAATGGGAGAGGACGAGGGAGTTTCCACTTGCAGGAACAAAAAGTTTTCTATTCAAGTTTGAAATCAAGAAGAACAAAGATAAGAGGGGGAAAGAAAAGACAAAATCAGAATAAGAATATGGCAGGAGTATGGCCAGGCTCCAGTGCAAGCTGCAGGCAGGCGAGGCAGCTTGGGCAGGGCTTGCTGGGCGGGGGAGTGGGAGGGGGAGTCTGCCGAGGAGCTGGCTTATCTTGGCCTGAAGCACCCCGGGTGCAGTGGATATGGACTGTCCGAAGGGACCGCACCCAGCGGCACATCCGCTGTCACTCAGGCAGCTCAGGAACAGCCACTCTGGGGGCAGCCACAACAAAACGGAACCTCCAGACCCTTATCTGGGCACCAGGCTGGCAAGTGGAGATTTCCACTGGGCCCCTCTCCCTGGGGGCCACGTGCTGCCGGCAATGACTGCTCCTCCATTCAAGAAGGGTGAGGACCCCAGGAAGAGACATAAAAGCAACAAAACGAAACTTTCCAGGACTTTTGTACCATTTTAAAATGCCCTCTGAGCAAAACCCAAAACTCAAACTGTTTTTGCTTCAATTTTTCCAGCTTTCCTTTAGACCTGGACACCTATAGCAAATTAAATTCAGAAAGACCTGCTTCCCACTTTCTTAAGTAATTTTAATAAAACCACTTCAACTCTGGTCTCCATCTATCCTGCTATGAAATCACTTACTGGGCCCACTGGATGTTGTCACTGTAAGGTTTACAAAGTTCTATGAATTCCTAGCACACGCCCAGCTCTCAGCTGGGGCTCAGCAAAATGTCAGTCCTCCACTCCAGAGTGACTGCTGCAAATTGCTCTCTCTTTTCTCCATCTTTCTTTCTTTCTTTCTTTCTTTCTTTCTTTCTTTCTTTCTTTCTTTCTTCCCTTCTTTCTTTCTTCCCAAGTTTTAATTGTGGTAATATACATTATATATATATATATATATATATATATATATATATATATATAATAAAATTTACTGTTTTAGCTATTTTTTAACAATTAAGTATTCACATTATTGTGCAACCATGTCCACCATCCCTCTCCAGAACTCTTTCTTCATCCCAAACTAAAATTCTGTTCCCATTAAATGATAACTTCCCTACCGACTTTTTATTGGCTCTTCTGAGGCCCTTTTCCAAGAAAAGTCCTTTCTTAGGAAAGACGTAAGGCAGGGCTCAGCGCACAGCTGCAGGCTGGATTTGCCCATGGGACCAGCCAACAGTGGCTAATCCGGCATTCCCCAGGGTGCGGAACTGGATGCCTGGTCTAATCTGAACAGCTTAGGTGTCACAGACCTCCCTCTCCCTAGGACCAGGTCAGAAAGAGCCACCAGCACCAAAGCATCTCTCAGACCCAATTCAGAGACCTCAGTGTCCCACCAAGCCTGAGTGGGCGGGCAGGCTGGCTGCAGCGTGCTATAAGGAAAAGATCACAGGGCCTGGGACAGGCTGCCTGGCTTCAAACCCCAGGCTCTGGATTCTTGGAAATTTCCTTGACCTTAGACTAAGTTTCACATTATTAAACACTAGAGACCCAGTGCATGGAATTCGTGCATGGGTAGCGTCCCTATTGGCTAGCAGCCTCCCTTCCCCTGGCCGCCTGCCGATACCGGCCAGGGCAGGGCAGGCTGGGAGGAGAGGCTATGGACGGTTGGTCAGCCAGCCTTCTTCCCTGGTTGAACTCCCCATTGAGGGGACAATTTGCTTATTAGGTTTTTATTATATAGAGGCCCAGTGC